GACCACAAGTTCAAGGCCAGCCTATGCTGTGGTAGTGAGATCCTTTCTCAAAAGAACAAAGGAGGGGCTGGATAAATGGCTTTGTGGTTAAGAACACTGGCTGTTCTTTCAGAGGACCTGAGTTCAATTCCCAGCACCCACACGGCAACTCACAACTGTAACTCCAGTTCCAAATCTGCCATCATCATACAGACATGCATGCAGGCAAAACACAATACATAAGGAATAAAGATAAATGTTTTTTTAAATAAAAAAAAAAGCCGGGCAGTGGTAGCGCATGCCTTTAATCCCAGCATAGGGAGGCAGAGGCAGGTGGATCTCTGTAAGTTCGAGCCAGCCTGGTCTACAAGAGCTAGGTCCAGGACAGGCTCCAAAACTACAGAGAAACCCTGTCTCGAAAAACCAAAAAAGAAAAAGAGAAAAAAAAACAATAAAGGATTTGACAGATGGCTCGGTGGTAAAAACATACTGCTCTTACAGAGGACCCTAGGTCAGTTCCCAGCACCCAGGATGGGTGGCTCCTAACCACCTATAACTCCAGCTGCAGGATAATCTGACACCTCTGGCTTCCTCAGGCACCCGCACCTACTTGTGCATACACACAGAGAGACATAAACATAAAGCAAAATAACAAAAAGCTTAAGTAAATAAATAGTTGGATAAGATATACACCTCCAGTGTATACCTGAAGATCTGAGTTCAACCCCCAGAATCCATGTAAATATGAAAGGAGACTGGGCAAAGTTGTCTCTGACTTCCACATGCATGCTGTCATGTGCAACTCCCCACGTGTGTGTGTGCATATACATACAATAATAAATACCTAAGTGAAAAGGAGAGGAAAAGGCAACCTGGAAGTTTTGGATAACTTTAATCCCAGCACTTGGGAGACAGGCAGGTCGATCTCTGAGTTCAAACCCAGCCTGATCTGCAGAGCGAGTTCCAGGACAGACAGGGCTACCCAGAGAAACCATGCATTGAGCCCCCAGTCCCCGCAAAAATAGCAAAGCTGGAGATGGTTCAGCAGTTCAGAGCTCCAAGTTCAGTTCCCAGCACCCGCACAGTGGCTGACATCATCTGTAACTCCATGTCACCTTTTAGCCTTCTTTGGGTAAACACACACATATTAAAATAATTCTTTTTACATAACTTTTTAATTTTTTGTTTTACTGGTGCTTTGCCTGTATGTATGTCTGTGAGGATGTTGGATCCTGGAGTTACAGATAGCTGTGAGCTTCCATGTGGGTGCTGGGAATTGAACCCGGTTCCTCTGGAAGTGCTATCAGTGCTCTTAACTGTTGAGACATCTCTCCAGCCCCCAGCTTTTTAATTTTTGAGATTATGATATAATTACATCATTTCCCCTTTTGTCCCTCTAACTTCTTCCATGTACTATCTATAAAATAAATCAATCAACAATGAATGAAGAACTAGGTACTACTGGGAGAGACTCATGGGTGGGGTGGGGTCCATCCCTTCTGCTTTAGAAATATAAAGGAGAGAAACTGACAATTTTATGCCTCCTTGTTGCGTTTTGCGATCCCCGTCTGCGCTTTATGCACTAGAATCCAGTTTGCGAGCTTTGGAAACATGCAGAGACAGACCAACACACAGACCTCCAATTGCTGGTTCAAAGGCCCTTCTTTAATAGCACCATGGAAGCTTAAATACCTTTCAGTCAATGGCCAACAGGTGAAAATCCCATCCTCTGATCCTCTAGGCAAAGCACAGCTTTTAGTTTCTTCAATTAGATGGTTCTAGCAGGGAAGAGCAGCTGAAGGCCAGGACTCAATTATTCCCAACACCTCCTAACTGGATTGCAACGTCCATCCTGTACGGGTCTAACACACACCTTCAGGAAACAAGCAAGGTCAGGATAGGACAACTTCTTTGCTGCCATCTTGAAATTCTCAATGACCCCAACCAGGATCAAACAGTGCTACAACACTGCCTCCACCTCCCATATGTGTATATATATATATATTTGTGTGTATGAAATTTTGAAAGACTGTCTTTCAATTGCCAGGTATGGTAGTTCGCATCTATAATCCCAGCACTCAGCATACTGAGTCAGGAAGATAGCAAATCTTGCCACACAGTGAGTTCCTTGCTACAAAGTTAGTCCCTGTCTCAAAACAAAGGAAAACAAATTGCCACACAGGCATACACTGCCTGGATACCTCTTCTAAAAGATTGTTTTATGTGCACGACTATTTTACCTTTATGTGCCTATGTGCACCATGTGTATGCCTGAGCATAACCTCTCAGGAGTTACAGGTGGTTGTGAGCCACCATCTGGGTGCTAGGAACTGAACCCAGGTTCTCTACAAGAGCAGCAAGTGCTCTTAACTTCTGAGCCTACTGACAGATCTCTCTAATAGCCCTGGCTGTCCTGGAACTCACTATGTAGACCAGGCAGGCCTCGAACTCACAGACATCTGTCCGCCTCTGCCTCCTGAATGCTGGGATCAAAGGCTTGCGCCCCCGCAGCTGGCTGTTTGGGGAGATTTGAGAAAAGATATTACTATGTAGCCCAGACTGCCTGAGCTCACAACCTTCCTATTCCATCTTCCTGAGTGTTGGAATGACAGGCATGTTTGAAAACATAGGAAAAACACTTTTTTCTAGAACTCAGGACAGAACTCAAGGCCTTGTCCATGAGAAGCAAAACCTCCTCTGCCTCACGTTTACAACCCTACTTGTTTTAGTTAGTTTGTTGTTGTTTTGTTTGAGACAATGCCTTAGACAGCCCAGGCTGGCCTTGAACTCTTGATCCTGTTGCCATCCAGAGTTCAATGAAGGGATTGTGTGTCTATGCTACCATGTTTGGCTTCCCGAATTTACTTTCTTTTTATTTTAATTATGTGTATTTGTGTATCTGTGTATGTACATATGGGTTCAAATGGGTACAGGTATCCTCAGAAGCCCAAAGAGGAGAGAAGAGGGTGTTTGATCCCCTAGAGCTAGAGTTGTAGGCAGTTATGAGATGCACGATGTGGATGCTGGCAATGGAACTCAGGTTCTCTGCAAGAGCAGGTTATGCTCTTGGCCGCTTTTAACCACTGAGACCCTTGTTTTTTTCTTAACACAGAGTCTCACTAAGTAACCAAGGCTAGCTTTGATCTTATAATTCTCTTGCCGGGACCTCCTGAGTGCTCTGATTACAAGTATATGGGGCTATACATCTTTTTTAAAAAGACTTTTTAAATGTATATTAGTGTTTTGTCTGCATGTATGTATGTGCACCATGTGCAGTGCATGCCTGGTGCCCAGTGAGGTAAAAGAAGGCATCAGATTTCCTGGAAATGAAGTTATGGGCAGTTGTGAGCCACCATTTAGGTACTGGAAATCAAACCCAAGTCACCTACAAGAGCAGCAAGTGCTCTTAACTGCTGAGCCATTGCTTTAGCCCCTAAGATTAAAAAAAAAAAAAATTTATGCTTAGCTGGGCATGGTGGAAGGAACAAAGGAAGGAATGAAGGAACAAAGGAAGGGAAGAAAGAAAGAAAGAAAGAAAGAAAGAAAGGAAGGAAGAAAGCTGTCCACGAAGTTCAGTGACAGCGGATATGTTCAAGAAATGTTGCAAGGACTTGATCCTTTGATGAATCTTGTATAGACAGTGTGTAGGAATAGCAGCTTAGTGGGCATCATGTGGGAGAGTGTTGATTTTATAATGTCAGAAAACACTGTAACAAATTGGGTGGTGGTGGCACATTGCCTTTAATCCCAGTGCTCCGGAGGCAGAGGCAGGCAGGTCTCTGTGAGTTCAAGGCCAGCCTGGTCTGCAGGAGCTAATTCCAGGACAAGCCCCAAAGCTACAGAGAAACCCTGTCTCCAAAAACAAAAAACAAAACACTGTACAAATAAAAATAATGGCTGTCTAACAGAAAAATCCAGGCACCTTCTCTAACGAACCTGCTTTTTTATGACATAAAAATTAAGCGACTTACATTTTGATATTAAACTTTTAATTAATTAAGTCAGGCATGGTAACGTGTGCCCATAATCCCAGAATTGAGAAGGTAAAAGCAGGAGGACTGGAAATTCAAGGCCATCCTCCCCCAGCTGAGGGAAGCCTGGGCTAAGTGATACCCTGTCTCAAAAAAAAAAAACCAAAAATCAAAAAACAAACAAAACAAAAAAGGGCCTCTGAGATGTGGCTAAAGGTGCTCATTGTCAAGCCTGACCCCACTGCTTAAACTTGGTCACCTCCCACAAGTTGTCCTCAAACAAACAAACAAAAACCCAAAAACCTTTTAATTTACTAAACATTAGCAATAGTTTTGCTTGTTTGGTGGCAGAGGAAGGTGGATCTCTGTGAGTTAGGGGCCAGGGTCATCTACAAAGTGAGTTTTAGTACAGCCAGGGCTATGTAGACCTTATCTCAGAAAAAAGAAAGAAGGGAGGGAGGGAGGGAGGGAGGGAGGAAGGAAGGAAGGAAGGAAGGAAGGAAAAACAGACATCTCTAGCTTCCCATATGGCCCTGTCACATTCTGACTCTGAAAGCTAACCGGTCCTGCCTGGTTTTGAGTCTTGCATAAGACACACAATGTGTGCCCTTCCCTGCCTGGCCTCTCACTCACCATGTTCCTTCTGACTCAGGAACAATATTACACATACTGTAGCTTGTTCATTTTGCTACTGACACCCCACTGCCTGAATAGTGGTTTTCGTGGCTCATTTTCCTGAGTGGTATATTTCCTGAGTAGGTATTTGAGTAGTTTCCAGTGTGGGACTGTTGTGAATAGCACTACTTGGCCCTGGAACACATCCTTGGTGTGAACGGGGAGAAAGAATTGGAACCACCTTTTCCAGACAGTTTCCACACAGATGTCTCTGATGCCACCTGCTGGACAGGAGCCATATGACATATCCAGGGTGGCCTTCAAAAGAGTCCTCTCAAGAACTCGCAGCACAAGACTGGACCATGACCCTACCTGGAAGCCACACCCCTGACAATATAACCTGGTTGGTGTTGCTAAGCCACCACCCAAACCACCCTTGAATCCTAGTTCTGATCACGTTCACAGTCCCTAGAGATCTAGGTAAGTTAGCGATCTCAAAGGTTAAGAGGGGACTGTCCCCACTACACCCCATAGTCTATGGCTATAGTGTTGGGCTCATCCTAGACTTGGGTAAACTGTGACCCCTGTGTGGCAGTTGTTTGGGGAACCTTTAGGAGAACCTCACGTCCTAATGAGGCAGGCTCGTTGAAGCCTCCCCGGCCCAGCCCCGCCCTGCCCAGACCTGTTCTCTCTTTCACCACCTCCCTTCCCCAAGGCCACCCAGCAGCAACCACAGCCTGCTTGCCTCCCTCCCTGGCAGTCTCAACTGTCAGGGTTCTCGGCAGGAACCTGGAGCAGCCCAGGCCATGGAGGCTACAACAGGGCCTGTGCTCTACCACAAGCTGCAACTCTGGGAGCCTGGCACGGAGTCTGAGGAGGAGGAAGAGGAAGAAATAGCAGAGCCACTGGTCCTCTCCCTAAGGAGATCCCAAAATACCCCCCGGTGAGTCACCAAGGGGCCTGGGAACCCCATAACTCAGGCTGGAAGGCTGGCAAGGTCCTCTCTCTGGATCCCCTAAGCTGGGTCAGGCAACCCCACAGTGGCTGAGCTCCAGGGACTTTCTAGATGAGTGGGGGAAGGGGACTCTAGGCGGCAGACCCAACTTGGGATTGAGCCAGTCAATCGAAGGTCTATGTATCTGAAGGGACACTTGTACCAAGCCAGTCCCTATCCTGTTTCATCTTTGCCAGCCTCACCCTACCCCCATGCCACAGCACCAGCTAGGCAGGTTGGGACCTGGCTACACCTGGCTGAGCCCTGCTGCTCGGTCTCGTCTCTCCTGTATGCCAAGCCCCTTCCAGGCCTCCCTCTGACTGACTGGCCTCTACCTCTACCAACTCTTCAGTAGATACTCTCTCGAAGCCAGCCTCAGTTTCTCCAGAATTTTCCTACCTCTGTGTCTTCGCAGTGCCCCGGACCAGGAATTTTCTCCCTCTCTCAGTCTCTGCCTCGCTCTGTCTCTGTCTTTCTCTCTCTCCTTAGCCAGTTTATACTCTTGAAAAAGATCAAACCTTTTGGGAAAACATTCCTTGGGTCCTCTCAGGGTTCTTGGGTGCCCTCCACTCCATCCCTGGCTCAGGACTCCCCTTTCTGCAGGAACAAGGTTGGTGGGCTGCCAGGAGCCTGGGCCCGCCTGCTGGCAAGTCTGCTGCTGCTAGCTGTTAGCAGCTCCCTGGCTCTGAGGCAGCTGCACAGTAGGGACAGTCCAAAAGAAAACTTGGGCTCTGCGGCCCCTCCAGCCAGCAGACACTCCCATCACCCTGGTGTGTACCACCATGGAGCCATTATCAGCCCTGCAGGTCAGTGCTGGGGAAGGGGCTAGGGGGTCAATGGTCCAGGCCACCTGCCCATCACCCATAGACCTTTCCTTACTGCAGCCACATGTTCTCAGCTGGGCCAAGAGCTGCTTGTCGCTGGGGGGAATGTCGTGGATGCTGGAGTTGGAGCAGCTTTGTGTCTGGCGGTGGTACATCCTCATGCAACAGGGCTAGGTCAGTGTGATCGGTGGGCCCGGGACAGAGACTCCAACCTGAGACCTAGTCAGTGGCCATTACTTCAAGACTAGCTAGTGAGAAGGACACAAGATCTGAGCACCAACCCTAGTCTTGGGTAATATTTGACCCCCAACCTGGTCAGTAACTCCTGTTTCTCCACCTGGGACTGCCAGAGGATCCTGACCCCAGCCCTGGTCAGTGCCTCTGACCCCTGTGTGGTCTCTTTGTCTCCCAACAGGTGGCATGTTCTGGGGCCTCTTCTACAACAGCTCCTCAGGAAACTCAACTGCCCTGACAGCAGGCCCAGTGCAAACCCTGGCCCCGGGCTTGGGGCTGCCCACAGCTCTGCCTGCCCTTCATTTGCTTCACACACACTTCGGCCACCTGACCTGGCCACAGCTGTTGGCCAAGCCCACCAAGCTGGCTCAAGAGGGCTTTGAGGTAGATGCGCCCCTGGCAAGTGCACTAGCAGCCCAGGGCACCAAGGGACTCTGTCCACTCTTCTGCCATACCAACGGGGCTCCACTGAGTCTTGGGGCTCGAGCTACCAACCCCAAACTGGCAGCTGTGTTGCACCAGGCAGCCCTGGCCTCTAGCCCTGATCTTGTTGGGGATGCCTTGCTGAGTCTGCTGGTCAAAGACCTGGAGCTCAGGGATCCTCCTGCTCAGCCCATGCCCTCCTTAGAGCCCGCGCTGCAGCTTTCCGTGCCGCAGGGTGTCCTCTTCACTACTCCAGGTCCCTCAACTGGCCCAGAACTTCTGGAACTGCTGGAGTCTGCCCTTCACTCCAGGACACCCAGCCCTACTTCCTGTCTGTCTCTCCTGCAAACTGCCATGACCTCAGGGAATAGCGCCGTGGCCACCGTGGACAGCAGTGGTTCTATGCTCCTCCTAACCTCCTCAATCAATAGCTCCTTTGGTTCTGGACACCTGTCCCCAAGCACGGGGGTTCTGCTCAGCAACCTGGTAGCCAGATCGGCACCTAGTGCCTGGGCCTGCCCAGTCATTCTCCGTGGCACCCTGGATGACATGGAATCCGATATGTTGGGGCTAGTGACTTCAGGGATGCCCAGAGGGACCAAGGCCATCACTTGCACCTTGCTCAATCATCTGGCAACACCTCAAACCCAGCATCAAGCTCAACAAAGACCCACAGAAAGCCCTGGAGTTTGTGGCCAAGGGAGCCTACTCCAAGTGGCAGTCCATGCAGAACATGCCCATGTCTCCAGTGTCCCCAGTGGCTGCTGCCCCTTCCAGGGGTATTAACAGAGGGACGGAGTATGGAAAGGGCAAAGCTATCTGGAACCTGAGGGCCAAAACAGAGGCCTAGCATCAATGAGTGCAGACAGAGAATGTATCTGTGATGTGTTCGCTGCCATCAGCCCGCCGTTCATCATGTTCTGTCACCTGGCTCTAGCTCTGTCCTCCAGGGCTAGTTAGTCCCACCGTGTTTCCTGGTACCCACACTGATGGAATTGCTGGGTTTTCTATCAGACCAGGACCTAGAGGATGATGAAAAAGAGACTGAGTGCAGCTCAGCTTCAGGAAAGTCAGTGGAAGGTTGAGAGCCTAGTCTTTGGGCAGTATGGGCAACACCGTCTTCCACACTGGACCATGCCCTGCTGATCTTTATCAATTGCAACGGAAGCTAATAAAGTCCAAATCTCCCAGGGGCCAAGTGCCATCCCTGCTTTTGGGTTAACTTTTTCATTATCCCATGAGATCTCTGATGCCAAGGCATCTGCCATGTGCAACACCGATGACAAGAACACCAGGCACAGGTGGCGCCTGGACTGGTGTCTTTCAGCTTTCCCCTGCTCCACCCACCTTCTGCGTCCTGGGGTTCTATCTGTGCAAGGTAAATCTTAGTTTCACAGGTAGGACAGATGGCAGAGTAGAGAAGGGTTGGAGAAGTGAGTAGGGGACACCACTGGTAACAAAGGCCTGGAACTAGGTTGCCCGTGAGCTTCCCTTTAGGGTTGCAATCTCCGGGCTACAACCCCCTAGAAATAGTTCCTCAGGCCAAGGGCAGGGACATCCAGGAGCACTTCCCCTACCTGACAAAGTAAAAGACATTTTTGGTTTAATGTTTTGAGGGTTTTAATTTTTTAATTAAAAAAAAAGATGTTTTTACTTTATGTATTTTGACTACATATGTTTACGTGGACCACACACATCTTGCATTTGAGGAGGCCATAAGAGGGCTCTGGATCCCTGGAACTGGGGTTACAGCTATGAGTTGCTACACGGGTGCTCAGAACTGAACTTAAGGTCCTTGGCAAGAGTAGTAAGTGCTCTTAAGCAATCAGCAGCTCCCCAGCCCTTATATATATTTTTTTGTTGTTGTTTTGTTTTTCGAGACAGGGTTACTCTGTAGTTTTGGAGCCAGCTCTGGAACTAGCCCTTGTAGACCAGGCTGGCCTTGAACTCACAGAGATCCACCTGCCTCGGCCTCCCGAGTGCTGGGATTAAAGGCGTGTGCCACCACCGCCAGGCTATAATTTGTTTTTTTAAGGCAGAGTCTCACTACGTAATCCAGTCTGACCCAGGCACATGGACCACCGACACACTCAGCTGTTTTGTTGTGCTGGAGATCAAATTTAAAGCCTTGGCGTGCTTGGCGCATGCTCTGCTACCACAGCATAGCTCTAGTCCCAAACCAATAGAACTCTTGATTACTCCATCTCCAACTCAGTGTCAAACAAAACACCCCTAGGCTCAATGATTCCACCATCTACTCAATTATTTTAGCCTTTAGCCTGGTGTCTTCTCTAGCTAATTCTCTCCTTTGACCCAGTTCAGCTCCCACCCTGCCCAGCTCCAGATTAGCCCAGGTCTGATTCTAGCCCAGTTCACTGTCTCTGTACTTACAGCCAAAGGCCTTGACAACAGCTGATCTTTTGTGAATGTAAATCCGATGTAAATCCCCCCCCCCCCCCCCCCCCCCCCCCCCCCCCCCGCACACTCCGAAGAAAGTCTGAACTCTTGACCCTGGCCTGAAGTCCTATACAACCTTGCTCTCCCTGCTCCTGCGTCCCTGTCCCCTCTTTGGCCTCAGTCCCTTATCTTTGAAGATGGGCCTCTGGTAGAAGCAATGTCCTTGGCCAGTTTTTTTTTTTTTTTTGTCCCTCTTAGATTTTTGCCCAGAGGAACAGTTGAGTCCATCTCGTCCCTCAGCTGTCAGCCCATACGTTTCGTTAGTCTCATCCAGTGACTACTCTTAAACAGCATCTTAGGATCTACTTAATTTTAATTCCCAAGGCTTTTAACAGGTGATGTTTTGACATATTTTAACATTTAAAGGGCTCTGCTCCCTACAGTCCTTATTTTCATGATAATTATCGTTTTAAATGAATTTTGCTACTTGTTCTTCAACTAGAAAGTCCTCGGAAGCCGTGGCTTTGTTCCCGAGCACACAGTAGGCGGGGAATAGCTGACGCACGGGTGTCGGAAAGGCTCGCGGGTAGATGAAAGTCTGGAAGGAGACCGTATCGCTATTTTTCAGTGGATTTGTGCCGCGGGCCGTCCGAAACGCCTCCAGTATAAAGAAAGGGATCAAAACAGCAGTCACCCCACACGCGTGAGTGAGCACCAGACGCGGCTCCACCCACGGCCACACCGGAAAGGCACGACGTCCCGCCCTACCACTCCCAACCACTCCGGACCTCCAGGCTCCGCCCCCAGCCGGCCTTCCCAGTGCGCACGCGCCGGGGCCTGACCTGGAAGAGACGGTCTTCCGAGCCCACGTGTTTCGTGCAGCATGGCGGAGCTGAAGAGTCCCACGAAAGCTGAGCCTGCGCCTCCCGCAGAAGCGGTGCAAGATGACCGCCGCGACCTACTGGAGCACAGCCGCGAGTTCTTGGACTTTTTCTGGGACATCGCGAAGCCGGAGCAGGAAACGCGGCTCCAGGCCACTGAGAAGTTGCTGGAGTACTTGCGCACAAGGCCGAGTGTATGATGGCGGGGCCCGCACACTCAGTCGCGGCTCTAGATGCAAGGGGGGCAGGGGCGGGCTCCCAGGTCACTGTTGAACACGAGGGATACTTTTGGTTCCGCAGGGTTCGGAGATGAAGTACGCCCTGAAGCGCCTGGTCACTGGACTTGGGATGGGCCGAGAAGCTGCTCGGCCCTGCTATAGTCTGGCGCTGGCACAGGTGAGGTGGCGCGCTGGTCAAAAGATGGGTGTAAGGATAGGGGGCACCGCAGCCGCTGGGTAAGGAGAAATCCGAGAGGATTCTGAAGTTTTCTTTCTGATACATGTTTAGTAGGCGTATTAGCTACAGTTACTGGAAGCAGTGAACTTTGAAGTTGACTTAAGCAAGGCTGGGGACCCCGCTCTAGGTTAGGAACTTAACTAATGGCAGGCCGCTCAGAAATGCGTACAACAAAGAGCAGCAGTGAACACTAGCCTGTAGGGTCAACCTCAAGGCAGCTCGGCTTAGGATGTGTGGCTGAGATAGGTTTTTCAGGAGGGATTAGATGAGCAATCGAAGCCTTCAGAAGCCCTGGTGGAGATGGGGCTCAGTGCAGGATTTGGTCCCATGAAAGCAGTAGGTTATCCCGTAGCACTTGTGGTGAGAGATGGGAGGAGTGACCAGGATTATGTAGAGGGAAAGCTGAATTGAAGAAGGGGAGTTGGCTTGGTCTAGCGTGGCTCCCCTGGGTCACTCCTCTGAGCTCCTTTGGTTTTGCTGGCAGCTGTTGCAGTCTTTTGAAGACATTCCTTTATGCAGCATCCTGACTCAGATACAGGAAAAGTACAATCTGCAAACAGCAAACAAGGTGAGTGGTCCCAGACATAGCGGCCCCCGCCTGAACAGGCATGGGTGGGGTCATGGACCCTCTTCACCCGTGTTTGCCATCTTCCTCTAGGCAATGCTGAGACCTGCTCTCTTTGCAAACCTGTTTGGAGTGCTAGCTCTCTTCCAGTCAGGCCGCCTGGTGAAGGTAAGAGTGTTGGGTACAGGAGGCAAGGGTTGGGGTTGGTGGGGAACAGACAGTAGTGTGCCCTGTTCATACTCTGTTTTCTGTGGGTACTAGGATCAGGAGGCCCTGATGAAGTCAGTGAGGTTGCTGAATATCCTCTCCCATCACAACAACCACTTACAAGGCCAGCCAATGAAGGTCCTGGTGGACATCCTCTCCAAGGTACGGGATCACAGGTTGTGTTGTATGGTTCTGGGAACGTTGAGAAGATTTCAGTTAGCACACAGGACCATTAAGACAGATGGCTTAACCATGCAGCAGGTGGAAAGAGCTGTGAACTGTGAAGATAGTTTTAGATTCATTTATTTTTTTGTCAGCAAACATCTTAAAGTTTTGTTTATTCTGTGTATACTGTTCTGCCTTCATGTGGGCCTGCAAGCCAGAAGAGGGCACCCGATCGATCTCATTACAGATGGTTGCAAGCCACCATGTGGTTGCTAGGAATTGAACTCAGGGCCTTCTAAAGACCAGGCGGTGCTCATAACTCAGCAGTTATGAACCATCCCTCCAGCCCCATGTCACCAAATATCTTAAATTTTGCCTGTGTTTCTGGTTTACAGCATGTCTGCATTCAGTTAGGCACTTCTAATGCTCCATAGCTCTCTGGTTTCTGAGATCTGGAACAGTTAGCCATCTAGGATGCTGGGGATGGGTAGCCAGCACTTTCTTACAGGTCTGACAATTAACAAGTTGGCTAACTGGAGCTGTATCAAAAGTCCATGGGGTAGAGCAAGACCTGGAGGGAGAAACGAAGGTGCTAGGAGAGCCGCCCTCTCCACTTATGCTCTCACTCCAGGTCCCAGAGTCCATGTTCGAGGAGATCCTGCCAAAGGTCCTCAAGGATGACTTGAAAGTGATCCTCAGCTCCCCTAAGTACCTGGAGCTCTTCCTCTTGGCTAAGCAGAGGGTGCCAGCAAAGCTTGAGTCACTGGTGGGCTCTGTTGACCTGTTCTCAGAAGAGAATATCCCCAGGTTTGAGGAGAGAGTGGGTGGGCTCTCCTTGGGGGGTGTCCTGAACCCCAGACTTCTAGGCAGTGTTGCTGAGTCCCATCTGCACTCTGTAGTCTAGTGAACGTGCTGAAGATGGCAGCCAAGTCTGTAAGGAAAGAGCAAAAGCTACCAGACGTGTCTCTGAGCCTCCTCCGCCTATCACTTAAGGAGAACAAATTCACACTGTTTTGGAAGGAGGTTGTGGAGCAGGAGCTACTGAAGAAGCTAAGCTGGTCAACCAGGTGTGTGTGAGACACTAACCTCTGCTCCAGTCTGGGTGGGACGTGTTCTGAAGCCCACCACAAAGAACAGGGTCTCTGACCAGGCTCTGCCCCACCCCTTCTTAGCTACATGTGCTTCCGCCTGCTGGGTGCATCCCTGCCGCTGCTGTCAGAAGAGCAGCTGCAGCTGGTGATGCGGGGAGACTTGATCCGCCATTTTGGGGAGCACGCGGTCATTTCTAAGGTAGGTGTCATCCCTTGAAGTTCAGCAATGCCCAAAAGGGCCAGACAGTGGGTTCTTCCTCTGAAGATGTGTGACAGGACTGGGGACTATAGAAGGGTTTGGCCAGTGATCAGGCCCTTTTGTCCTGAGGCCCACTCTCTAGCGGGCCCAACCGGTCATCTATCTGGAATGCTCTGCTAGGGCCATTGATGAGAACAGTTATTCCTAGTGTGTTCTGTATTTTTGTGCCTGCCATCCATAAGACAGTGTTAACAGGGGCCCAGTACAAAGGGTTGTTGTAAGAAAAGAAGTAACCTGGTGGTGATCACATGAAAATTGGTGAGTTTTGAATCACACTGACACAACTAGATACTGGTCTATCAGGATTTGGGCCCTGCTTCCCCTCATGCCGCATTGAACTAGGGAAGCATCTTGTCCTCAGTCTTTGAGCCAGATTGGGGACCTTCTTGAGCTGGGATTGTAGGAATTTGAGGAGTCAAAGATAAGAGAGACCTTGGTGGAGCTGTGGCAGCACTGGTTCTACTGTGAACTCGGGACATTCTAGCCCAGGGTTTAACCTAGAAAGGGAGAGGGAGGAAGGTGGGAATGTTGGCCACTTCACATTGGTAACCCGACCTCATGCTCATCTCTTGCAGCCCCAAAATCTGTTCAAGTTCGTGCCAGAGATAAGTAAATATGTGAGTATCTTCCT